AAATAGTTAAGGACAATGATACAATGTTCAAGTAGCAGAAGATTCTTCTAAGTTCTATATATAAAGTAAAGATTAAAAAAGGGTTTTTTTAAGTCTAATGGTCATTAAACTTCGACCCGATTCGCATTTTGGTATCTCAATTTTCAAAATTGTTCCCATAGTCATTCAACTTTAGTATCTTTAGGACAAATGATCATGCCATCAATTTTGTTATCTTTTATGTTAAATGCAAGGGTAAAATGGTATTTTTATATTAATTTTAATTTTCACCGTTTGAATATTCCTTTCACCCAAAAAATAAAAATAAAAAACTTTCTTCCTATCCTCGCCATAGTAGCCACAACCTCTCCAACAGAGGGAGATATATGGATGGGAGAGTTAAGTTGTAGCGTTGGGGGAGTGGGTGCGTCAGGAATTGCCCATGTACTCAAGGAGTGAAACAATTTCTGATTTTGACTCCAAACAGTACACCATGTGCCATGCACATGCTTAAATTTAAAAGAAAATGTTAACAAAATTGATTGTAGGACCATTTGTCCTAACGAAACTGAAGTTGACAGACTACGGAAATGATTTTGAAATTTAAAATACGAATCGGGTCAAAATTCAGGAACCATTGAAGCTAAAAAACCCATTAAGAAAATACAATGCAGAAAACTGAAGTTGAATGACCATGTGCTGCATGGCTTTTTATTTTTTGGGACCATATTTCCTAGTTCCAACGCATTACGCATTGAAGTGTAATTTGAATTAAAATAATTGGGATAAATAAAGACAAAAGGCATGAATTTTAGTAAATAAGTAAGGGAAAAGGACGAACAGTTTGTCCAAAAATAAAGGATGAACAGCTTTACCCATTGGCATGTGTGCTTTTAATTTGGTGGGATTGTTCAAAGCAGGTAAAAAGTTTGAGCATGCACAATTGGTTTTTTTTAACATTGTTATTTATTGGTCAAATTGTCTTTTTCGTTAATATTTTTACTGTCGGCGATGTTAATTTCAAATGGCATAATAATACGCCATTTGACTAATAACTTTTTGTTTTTACTGCAATTATAAAAACCCATAATCGTACTTAATTTTAAGTAAAAAAAGTTACACGCAGACCAACCTCTACCTTTTTCACACAGAGTTTCTTTTTCGGTTTACATGAAGGATCAAAGTAAACACGCTGTCATGTATTATTGTCTCATCTCATGCATCATGCATCATGCATGCAGTATATATTATATCTGTTGCTTTTTTCTTCTATTGGGAAACAGAGGAATGATTTTGCACGCGTACACCTTTTTTAAAATTTTAATTTCAAGGATACTCAAACCCAAAATGAGACGGTGTCGTTTGAATATAACCACAAGTGATTTTAATCCTTTGTAAATAAGAACAACTTCGATACAACGAGGATATCGATGTTGCTGTATGAGTAAGTTTTTTCTTTTGAAAAGTGAAAAGTTGATTGTTTATCAGAAAAAAAGGTAAAAAGTATATAAAAGCGTGAAAAAGACATTCTCAAGGTTCAGTTGCGATTTAAGCTTACAAAAAGCAAAGCTCCAAATGAGTAAAATCAAGTTTGGTCACGCGTCACTCTTTTCGAAATGACTGCAGCAACCCAAAAAAAGAAGAGAAATTAAACTCAAAAATAATTATAACAAAAAGAAAAGTTTTCAAAAGTTTAAATTAAAGTTGATTTCTAAGTGAAGTGGACAATACACAGAAGAGAGAGTACGCTCTAACCCACTCACACACATATCCACGAGACATGCATATCTGAAATTCTGAAATTGTGTTGTCTTTCTAAATGTTTGTTGCCAATTTTTCCCTAGTAATTCTACTGCTTATATAATTATATTGCTGGTCAAAATCACAAAAACATCAAGTAATTCAAATCAACGGCTGACATGCATGCTATTACTCCCATCTTTTGTCGTTTTCCCCGCAGTTTGGGCACCGCTGCCACCTAGACCAAAACCACCATTAAATCATCACCTGCAAAAATATGCAATGGACATCTGATTAGACTTGGAGAAACGGAGATAGCAAAATAGTGATATTCCTGTTACAACTAAATTTTTCTCTTAGATTAGGATAAAGGGTTGGTGCTTCTGATTGATTGAAGGGACAAAAAAGTGAATTACCAAGAACAACTATGCTCCCTATTATAGGCTTGTAAGAATGAAGATCAAAATTTGACAGATTTTAGGCGCATCTTCAAGTGTGTATGCAAATGAAATAGACAAAATTGTACTATAACAATCTAGGTGGCATGTTGCCTACCTATTTACCTCATAAAAAAAGTTAGTTACACCGAGGAATTAGGCAATGCAAGTCTACAAACTATTATTATATTATATATTTTTATCTTTTACATTTACTATGATATTTTATAGAAAGTAAGTGAGAGAGTGGAGATGATATTTTATTATAAAAAATAAGTGGGACCCAATATACATCTTCACTTTGAAGTAGGCAATATTGCCTTGCTTGGGAGAGTATGTATATTTTGCATACTTATTTGCCTATTCTCTTGGAGCATAAAAATGCTAATGTGGCAAGTCAAATGAGGTTTACCTACTCTTTTGCATATTCCTCTAAAGATGCTCTAAGCTACTATTGATATAAATATTGCTCCCCAATTTACAACTTTATTTGAATGGGGCCATGATCACAGTTACCATGTATGGTTATGATAATTATAGATTTTTCTTTAACGATCATAGAAACTCGAACTTGTCAACGGGGTCTAATCCAGTAGAATTATTTTTTTATTTTTTATTTTTGTGCCTAAACCTAGTAAAAAAAAACATTGACTTACACATCAGTAGTCTTAGATTTGAACTCCATAATACCGTGATATAGTATGGCTGTGAGAAAACTCCACCTACCCTTCCTAATTTTGGCAAAAAAATAAAAGAAAAAGAAACTCAATCTTGAAACATATTTCAACACATACCCATAACACAACATTAGTAAAATGACACTTATTTTCCAACATTACGCATAAACTATCAAGAACTAAATACTTTTGTTTGGTTGTGATTTGTATGGTAGAGAAAAGGAATAAAAAATTAGTGTCCAAATTCCCTTAACACCTCCCACTATTCATGCGATTGATTATGATTAGTCCGTTAAAAGACAATTAAATGAAGAGGACTGATTTGATTTAAGGTTGTTGCTTAGTCTCAGTCATTTCATCATGTCTTGTAATTTCTATCAATTTTGGAAGAATACACACACATATATATATATATATATAAAATGTATGTATAGTAAATATGATATTTTGGCCCCCATAGGCACCATGAATGGGTGTGTTCTATGTGAATATTATGTGTCCAGCTGTAAAGTGAGGCATGGGAGTAATTGGACGGCATTTATGGCATTAGTACAACAAACACCTGTTGCTGCCAAAAGTGAACAACTGTGGCTAAAGAGAAGCCCTTTCTATTTTGATGTCATAGCCTCACAGCCTTTCTGCTTCAAAACTCCAAACCCATCTAATTTTTTTTGCCTCAATTTGCTCTGCTTTTCTCTGCATTGATTGCAAGTACTAATAATAGTAGGCAATATAGGGGATCAATTTGAAAACCCATAAGAGCTAGGGGTTAAGGAACGCTGGTGGAATTATTAGTGTTGCAGTTTTAGCATAAAATTAGGGTTCTAGGATTTACCTATAACTTTTGAATTGAATTTTAGGGAAAGTGAGAAAAAGGCTTTCCTGCATCCAGAAAACTGAAAAAAATAAACAATTTCAACTTCTCAATTTAATACAACTTCTATAAACAGAAAACTGAAAGTGACAGAGACCAATATATTTTTCCCCACTCAAGTGCAATCGTGCAATTGTTGGAGCTGTTAAAAGAAGAAATATTTTCATGAAACGAGGATAACACTATTTTGCTATCTCCTATTAATAATGTTATGATGTCCGTAATAACACTTCCACGTGACATAATATTATTGACTGGAGATAGCAAAATAACAGTATCCCGTTGAAACTAAGTTTTCTCTCCAGTTAAAGGGTATTTAGCGGTCACTAATCTGCCAAACTTAATGTCAAAAAGCAAACAGAGTAAAATGGACTGAATGAAAAACATTGGCATCAAATTTAAAGTGAATTCTACAGAAACTAGTCAACTAGAGTAGTGCAAATTCCGAAAACTCACAAACTATTTCACAAACTGATTGACTCAAAGATACAGTCAGATCAAGGAGCATTGCTATTCAATTGAATAGATTAAAATTAAAGCAAAAGCAAGAACCGGCTTAGGCTATGGATCTCGGGAAAGAAATGAACTACCAGGAAAGCTCCACTTGGTCATCTCAATCTGGTCTACTCAGTCCAGCTAAGCAGCTGGCACTGTTCTCACGAATCCTGTGTGTGTGTGTGTGTGTGTCTCTCTCTCTCTAACACTGTAACAAAAACTCTGTAAATACCAAATATGTATTATATCAAATTGTATATAAATATACATAAAAGACAGAAAAGAGAGAGACATGTATGTACAATTTGTATTTTGGATTTTGGACTGAAACTGTAAACAATTTGTATTTAATTTATTTTTATAGACGCATAAATTTCTCTGTCTATTGGACTGCTGTGCTGCTACCAATTTGCGACCATGTTTTTTATTTTTTATTTTTAACCTTTATTTATTTGCACCTATTATATTATAATAATTTGTTTATCACCATCTTGGCCTCGGTTTTCTACCCCCCTGCCTTTCAGATTTGAATCATGAAGTCTCCTCATTCCTTCCTCTCTCTCTCTCTCTTCTATATTAGCGTCCAATTTCTCAACCTTCAAACCTCCACTTTTTGAACCTCCCCTGTTTTTATCAGCTGAAGCTTGAAAGTTGAAACCTCTTCAACTCTTATTGATGGTGCTGAAACTCACACAACTTGAAAACCATACTCTTTCAAGCTCTGTTGCCTGTTGGGTTTATTGCATACATTCCTTTTACGTTGTTTCGTTTTGAAGTTGCAAGCTTTGGATGATCAATATGGCTCAGAAGCATTTACATGAGCTGCTCAAAGAAGATCAAGAGCCGTTTCTTCTCAAGAACTACATTGCTGATAAACGTTGCCAGCTGAAAAGTCCCTCCCCAAAAACCCATTTGCAGGTCAAAAAACGCAGACCCATCTCCCAAGTTCCAAACTTTCCCGGAAACCTCTGCAAAAACGCTTGCTTTTTCTCTCTCCATGACTCTCCGGACCTCAGAAAATCTCCACTCTTTGAGTTTTCATCACCAGCAGCCAGAAGCCCATGCAAGAGTCCCAATGCCATTTTTCTTCAAATCCCAAATAGAACCGCAGCTCTGCTTGTTGAAGCTGCTATGAGGATTCAGAAACAGTCATCATCCTCAAAACCCAAAACTCAGAACAAAAATCACAGCTTTGGGCTATTTGGCTCGTTCTTGAAGAGACTAACAACTCGAAATCGAACCCAAAAGCGAGAAATCAGAGGGGATGGGGTTAAGGTCTCTGTTAAGGACATTCTTAGGTGGGATTCATCAGTTGGTCGTAGAAAGATTTCCAATGAGGAAAAGATTGAGTCTTGTTTGGCTGTTGAGGAGCAAACTGCTTCTGAGATAAGCACTGGTTGTGAGGTGTGCTTTTCTTCTTCTTCTTGCACTGGTAGGCCCAGCAGTGCAGTGTGGTCTGAAACCAACGAAGACAAGTCTTTGGATTTAGATACTGCCTCAAGTAGCAGCCAGTCTGAGGGCTCAGAAGTGATTGAGTTTGTGACCCAACGAAGAGTAGATTCAGCTTGTCTTTGCAATTGTGAGAAGATCAACAATGGCTTCTGTGATAGCCCTTTTCGTTTCGTGCTCCAAACAACACCCCCGCCGTCCGGCCACCGGACGCCGGAGTTTTCATCGCCGGCGGCGTCTCCTAGTCGCCACAAACAAGAGGTTTGTCCTTTCCTCCGGCTTATATACCAAATTGTCTTTTTATATTGTTAATAGTAATTTAATTATACTAAAGTGAGTGAGTTGGTAACTCGGTCTACTTGAAGACGGTCCGAGTTCACTCGGTGGGGAACTTATAGAATTGTCGGCAACAAGATCACTTTTCAGAGATTTGGGCAGGGAAATTGAGTCACATTGAAGGTCATATGTGTCAATTTGAAGCTCAGCACAGCATGTAAACTTTTTGTATATATGTGCTTATCATTTGTCACTCGTATAGTCTCTGCATTGTAAATCTTTTTTGTTCGAAGAACAGTCTAGAAATAATTTTTCAGAACAAAAGACAAATTTGGTCTTGTTTTTTTGTGTTCGATCCCATTCATGAAGTCCCGACATCCCCTAAATTATATGCTTTTTATTGTAGTTTAAAAACTAGAGGAAAAGTCAAGCAGCCTTGCAATTATGGATCAAAGATTAATCTAAGTTGATTAAAATAGTTAAAGGCTTAGTTGGAAATTATTATTCTATAGCCCTGTGTATATATGATTAGTGTTTTGATTAAGGTTTTAAACTTTTAATAGGAGGAGGGAGTGAAGAAATTCCAAGTAGAAGAAGAGGAAGAGGAAGATAAGGAGCAGTGCAGTCCTGTTTCTGTATTGGACCCTCCATTCCAAGACGATGACGAGGGACGTGACGGTGACGGTGACGGTGACGATGAAGACGGTTTTGATTTGGAGTGCAGCTATGCCAATGTACAGAGTATGTAACAATTCCATTTGTACTAGCTTCTATTTAATTTTGTACTGTTCTTTGTTGGTTGTGCGGTCGTTGTCAATGAGCTTACTGTTATGTTATGTACAAAATGAAAACCTTGGAGGGCCATGGCTCAACGACTGTTTGATTAAAGACACCATGCTTATCTTTGTGGGATCCATGGCAAGATTGCATCTCAGTGTTCTTATCTGTGTTGTGAAAGTTGTCCTTGTGTTCTGGGTAAGTGTTGATGAAAAATCTCGACATCTGACGTTTTGTATTGATGTAACAGACGTATATTTGCAGTCTCATAACTGCATTTGTGACCCACAGATTGTTATGTACAGAAGTCACGGTGCATGTGGTAGACCTCTTTGGTTCATCACCATTAATTTCTCATTTCAATTTTGTGATTTTGTGTGTTTGGAAGTTTTTGGCGGTTGATGGTTTTGAATCATAGATTTATGGCAATCATTCATCTATTTTCTGCATTCCTTCTTAGTTGTGGTTTCCTGATTTGGTTTAATTAGGGTTAAACTTCGTGGATATTTTAGTTTCTGCAGGCTTTCTATTTTTTTAAATTTTTTAGTCGGTTCTCTAGGGTTTTATTTTCCCATAAATTAAGTGATAAGGTTTTCTCTCTATCTATCTATGGACTTGGCATTCTTCGGAACCAACAAGGATATAGGTTATATTAGGTTTATGGAAAAACCTAGTGCCAGTTTTGTGAATCTTCAAACAAATAACTAATCTTGGTATTTCCGGCATTGAATTTACAGGAACAAAGAATCAGCTACTGCAGAAGCTTCGTAGATTTGAGAAATTGGCAGGGTTGGATCCAATCGCACTCGAAAAAAGAATGTCAGAAGAAGAAGATGATGAATATAACATGGATGATCTAGAAGGACAATCAGAACAGTATGACGACGATGAATCAGAAACATCAGATAGCAGGATGGAAGAAAGTCTTGATGAGCTTGTCAGAGAAATACTTTCCCAATCAAACTTCCATTGTATCCGAAAAAGAATCCCGGCAGACGTGAAGAAGTTAGTCTCAGATCTCATTGTTGAGGAACAGAAAGAAGAAGAAGAAGCTGCTTTTACTGACAAGAGAGTAGTGGTGGTGAGAAGGGTCTGCGAGAGATTTGAGTCCTGGAAAGAGGTGGAATCTAACACCATTGACATGATGGTGGAGCAAGATTTCAGAAAGGAGCTTGATGGGTGGAAGAAAAATCAAGACCAAGTGGGAGAGACTGCAATGGAGATTGAGGTTGCCATCTTTGCCCTACTGGTGGATGAATTGGCAATGGAGCTGGTTTGATTATTAACATGAAACTAATGAACAACCGGGAAAGGTTTGATGTTAAAGGGACCATTCCAAAGAGTTTTGGCACAACTTGTAATTTTTTGTTTCGAAATCTAAAATATGAACAATTGGGAAGTATAGTTTGACATGCACTGTGAGGCAGAGGAAATAGGCTTAAAATAGTAAAGTACTTGGGTTAGGCGGGTGACATGGAATTATCAATGTATATGGATTATGTATCATGTATGTAGTTTGGGGTGGGGGGAAACCGGTGTATGTACGTATCCGTGCGTATTTAGACATGACATGTACAATTCTTGGCCCTTTAAATATTTATATTATTTCATAATCTTATGAGTTCTGTGTTTGTGTTGAGTAAAGGAGCATGAAACTTTAGTACATCAAGGGGATGATCAAAACCGGTGAAAGTGTCGAGGATCCAATAAAGTAGAAACCTACACTTTACCAACCCAAATATTCTTCGGCAAAGGATGACAACGAATTCAGTTCAACAATGCCTCAAGAAACGAATAAAGTTGAATAGGACTAAACACTATTTTCCAAACCAAAATGTACAAGCTCATCTTAAGATTGAGAGTGTGAATCCCAAATCAGTTTTCACATCAGAGAATTAGAGTTTTGCCTAATAGTTTGAATAATCTTGGGCCACTTTACCCATTATTAGTTGATTGGATTGAACGCACGCATTCGAATATAGGTCGAGAAAACAACAAAAGTTAAGAGCATACAACTTTAGCACACGAAAGTATGAAAATCAATAAAAATGTGAAGGATCCAATAAAGTAGAAACCTACACTTTACCAACCACACGTTCTTTGGCAAATCATGCCAAGGAACTTCGTTCACGAATGCCTAAACAAAGGAATAAAGTTAACAGATGACTTAACACAAATTGATAAGCCTAAGTTCTTGTTCTTGGTTTTTTATTATATTGTTAGATTAAATTAAGTCTAGATGGGGATATGTTATGTTGTCCTTTTGTTGTAACTTTACAGTATGATGGACACATTATTGAAACCCTTAATTATTAATTCATGGGGACTAATTAGTGGTGATGGGTCATGGGACTGTCTATCGGATCCTATTATTGACCAGACCCTAAAATAAAAATAAAAATAAAAATAAAAATAAAAATAAAAACAGATGCAAGAGCTAGAGAATGATCAAACACCAAGACAGGGGTTTGTCGTTTTCATGTCGATTAAAAAATATTGAACTTTGTTATCCAGAGAGAATTTGTTGTAACTTGTAAGTTGTAACCGATAGTCTCGAATGCTTGCTTTGGATTGGACTTAGATTTGGGCTGCAGAGTTATCAATTCTTCCCCCAAATAATTGACTGCTTATGTTCCGTTTCTAGGCCTAAAGTTGTTGCTGATTCTTACGGATAGAAGTTTGTTGCAGCCCACGTTCTCTTAACTCCATCTCAATTGCTTGAATTGCACCGATATTGTCTTAAACTTAATCAAATCCAATACATCAGAAAATCATGACATGGCATAATATGAAGCTCGCCAAATTGAAATACAAATATACTCATATTATAAAACCCTATATTTATTTATTAATACTACACCCTAAGTCCATGGGCCAAAAACACTCTAGAGCCATTTTCACTTTGAAAGGGGGGGGAAGCCCATGTTCTTCCTCCCCTCTCCCCTTCTCCCTTCCTCCCTTCTCCTTTATTCTCCCATTTTTAGAGACAAAAGCTTTCCTTATTTGTTTTCGTTATGTTATGATTTTCATCCACTCATTACATGCGGATGCATTTCCCTATCGGATCTCTACCACCATCATTTCAGCGGTTTCTTCATATTTGGAATAAGTCACATAGACTTTTTGGATTTTCTATGTAGTTTTCACCTATCCTTTTGTGAGAGTTTTTTTACCTCGCCTTTGTGAGAGCTTTCCGGCTATCTTCTATGAGAGTTTTATTTGTATTGTTATGACTTAATTTTTTGAAGCCTTATATGTATTTTTGTTTTGTTTTGAGTTTGCACTCTTAGTTGGAATGCCTATTGTAACATCCCAACCCAAAATAAATATTAAGTTTTTAAAAAAATTTACTTATTGAATTACTTTTTTTTTACCCTTAAGGGTAAGGGTAAATTGGTCACTTTTATTTTGGAAAGGATTTTGGGGAATTGAGTTGTACCATTGTATAGAGCTCATCGATACGAGTTTGTAAACAGGCGGCATGCTCAATTCCGAGTTATATCGGTTGTTTAAGGGTTTAAAAACAAAAAGGGCAATTTGGTCTTTTAGAAAAAAGCCTTTGTTTTTAAAAACAAAAAACCCAGTTTTGCCTCCACAACCCTCATGTGTTCTCTCTCTCTCTCTCTCTTCCAGCGTGACGCTGCCGTTTCTGAAGGGCCATTTCGTCACCGTCAGAGGACCAAATTGCATGAGACCACCACCTAAATTCTCTCTCTCTCTCTCTCCTTTACCCAGCCCACCCCTTCTCCTAGCTCAAAAACCCGATTTGAAGTGGTTGGATTGACTTGTTTTTGGGCAATTTTAGTTGTCGTTTCCAGTGATTCCAGGGACGATTTTCGTCGACCAAGGTACGAATCTTCATCATCTCCTCGTGTTCTAGCTGATGGTATGTTGGTTAAGATCAATTTGGAGTGTTTAGAGTTCGATCTAAAACCTAGGTTTTGAGTCGACTGTGGTGTTTTTCGACTAGCTCCGGCCACTTTTTGGCTAGGGTCCAAGACCAAAAGTGACTCCCCTAGTTGTGGTGGTTCTGTAGGTGTGGGTATTGATTGGCGGTTTGGGATTTTTTCGATCGCCGAAAATTACTCAAGACACTCACGCACTGCCGACACGTGGGACCTATTATGGCGGCTCTTAAGGTTCCAAAATAATCCTCATGTCGTCCCGAGCATAACGGTATGCTTGGATTAGCGATAGGTTATTGTTTGACTATCAAACAAAATTTCATGTCTTTGGCGATATGCGAGTTCGATAGGTTCAAACCTTCCGATTGGTTTCATTTTAAAATATGTGGTTCCTCATAACCTTAGGATGGTGTAAGAATTGGTTGATCGGGAATCGAGTCTCGGATACTTCGATTCAAGGAGTTTAGGGTTGGGTAACTGATAACCGTCCGATTATGTGATCGAGAGTAATCTGACCGCTTGATCGAGACCAAAGCCTCGGGACTTTTTGTTTGTTTTGAGTTGGACCTTTTTGAACTCTCGGTTTGGAAATTAGAGGTCGTGGGCTACGTGGGCCCGGGTTGACCAAATATTTGACTATGAACCTATCGAGACCGTCTTAATAGGAATTACCTATTAAATCCCGGGAATTAAGGTTTTTTTTTCTAATTTAAAGTTCGTGTTTGAAATACAATTTTTTAACATATCTCGATATTTCTTCAATAGGTGCTCAGGCTCTGGCTAGCCAGCAAGTAGGAGCCCCACCGGGCCATACCAGCTTGGACTTTATGTGAGTGGCTTTGTTTTAAATAAGCATTATCTTAAAGTATAAATTTCATGCATGAAAAGGGATTTTTAAATTTATATTTGGTTTTACTTGGATATGAAAAATTTATGCATGTTTTCCATAGTATGTACCTCCCCATTACTATTACTCTGATATTTATTTTTGACAAGCGGTAACATTTCGGAGGCATGTCGGGAACCGGACACCCCTGACCTTGTGAGAGTCTTTATTCTTAAAATGTTAATATTTTCTAGTAAGTATTAAATGATAGTAATTATATATATGTTTTATTTTGGAATCTATGATATTAATAATAGCTAAGTGTTTTATTATTATTCATTTGATATATGCATGCTTATCTTCCTCCAAATTTATTGCGTGGTGTTAAAGTTTTCTATTAGTTATCATGTTTTGCTGTCAAAACATGTGGTGCCTTCATATTATATTATTAAGTTAAGTGTGAATAGCAAGAAAGTTGGTATAGCTTTACAAATTGGTTATGTCATGTAAGCAGGAGGTGGAGCTTTAAGTTTTCCTCTTATTGACACATCTTCTAGCATGCAATTGTTTAATAAAGTTTTTGATAGATATTTCAACTTTGGCTTGAACAAAAAGGTTGTTATATTGTTATCATTTAGTAAACCGCCAATTACTTCATCCAATAGAAGTAAAGGTGTAGTAGACATTCCTTTAGTATAAATTGGAATGCAATTATTTCATTTTGAAATGCACAGCATGCATGGTTTGCATAGGAAAACCATAAGAGTTAAGAAAGGGAAATACTAGAGAGAGAGAGAATTTGAGTGTGGCTGCGGTGGAAATTAGGGAGTCGTCTTACAATTCTAGCAAAAGCTTTGGTATCAAGGTAGGGGTCTTTTGGGGGCCTTTACGGGGATTGATCTAATTAAATTTTGTGAGCTCTATATTATGTGTGATATTATAACGAATGTTCTTGATATAGGATATTTACGTATGGTGAACTATTTGAATAATGTTGATATAATTATATATACATTGGTGATGTTTTAAATGGTTATATTGTTGTGAGATACATGAGATATGTGAAAGGCATAATTATATCATGTCATGGAAATTATTTGGAGTTCTTGGATTGGGAAAATAATGGTGGAAAAGAGGGTAATGGAAATAGTCTTTTGTGTAGTTGAGTCTAAATGGAAATAGTGTTTTGTGTAGTTGAGTCTAATTCTTAGCAGGTATCAGGTCTCAGGGATCCCACAGTGCACATGGTTTTTATTGGGTGATTTAGGATTGGCGAAAGGGAGTTAGACAAGATGACTAACAAAACAGGAATTATGGGATGATTAAAATGAGTGTTAGTTCATATAAATGAGCATTCGGGACCATGTGGTATAAGCATGGTATGGAACGTGCAGGTCTGCTTGTCCAGTTATATGAATTAACGGGATTAGATGAAGAACATTCATGCATTATTATTAATAATGTGATAATTGGTTGTGTGATTGCATGTCATTTAATTTAGTTATATCAATCTACTGTGGTAAGGTCTTATGTCCCTACTGAGCTGTG